AAAGAGCGTATTTGGATATGAGAAGCGTTCCCTGAAATGAAGAAATAGGCTCTGGAACAGAGCTTGGGTTACAATTATTATATCAATTTACGTTAATTTACAGTATTAAAAAGTTGTTAAGTCTCTTCTTTTTGTTTTTCTTTTTGTTTTCCCGAAACAGTCACTTACTGTCTCATCTTTACTGCATGTATCTTTCTCTGTCTTCTGCGTGTTTTTTTCTAGGTCAGGCATTTCTGCATTTCTTTTGGTATCTTTTGTCGAGGGCAGAAATTGAAGCCACCTGGGGGCACTTATGGAGCCTCACGCCTCAGTTCTGGAAATAGAAAAGATTTAAAGTCCTGTCAGTACCCATTATTTATAACCAAAATGTATGAGGGGAGTATTCCCTGCGCAAGCATACGCAGAAGCTTCAGAATGCAAAACTGAGGAGAAATAGAAGTACAACAGTCAAAAGTAGCTAAACTGAACCCTGTGGAGATTGCTCTGACATTGTTTGTCTCATTTTGCTATAAATTTATATATTCAGAACTATCTGATGCTCATAAAAGGTGCCTTCTCAGCATGGTTTATTTTGTCACTGTAATTTACTTTGCAATTTATTGTGGCGTGATCCGTGCACTGTTGTATGACTGTTATATGTTAGCTGGAGGAAAGAGGTGACTTTTCTTTGAATGTACTTATGTTGACACAGGTAATAGTAAGGCTGCATTTTTCTGTCTACCATTTTATATGAAAGCACCACAGTGTTTAAATGTATTTGTCACTGCACGGTTCCATGGATACAGTGAGCTGCTGTGCTGGAAGACGTAAAAGCTGTAGAAAGGAGCTTGATGGAGATGTGCCTTTGCCCCCTGCAAGCTAGAAGCTCAGTGGGTGCCCGTGCTTTGGGGCAAAGATGTGGGCTGGGGGACCCCATGAGCCTGCCTAAGCTGGCAGGCTGGCTGTGAGAGGACTGGCAGCAGTGGCATACACTGTGCCTCATACAGCAGTCTTCTCAAATAGCATGTAACTATCCAGGGAGATGGCTTAACCTGCCAAAAGTCACAAAAGTAATCTGTGACAGAGCAAATACTTCCACTGGTGTCTCTCTGGTATTGTGCTTATCCTGGTTTTGTTTTCTAAAGATGCATCTTACTGCTTTTCTACACAAAAATAAGCTATATGACACCTGTATTTCTTCTGACATAACAGTGCCCACACCAAGCAATTGTCATTCAGTTATGGTAGTACTTAAATGCAGCTAAAGCAGAGCAAGTTCTTTGTGTTCAGTCAGATCTTGATGGATTACAGTTTTTTTGGATTTATTTAATTACTTTCCACTGTGTGTGAAATATAAAAGACAACACATGTTGATTATGTAGGAAATACTTTCCTTTCTGTAATCTTTGGGACTATACATTCAGGACACTTGAGATATTTCTAAAACAGCTTTGAAGAACAATTTGGTTAAAAATCCTACAGTGTAAGAAAGTGAGATGAAGAGTTCTGCTTAGCAATGGGCAGAGATGGCTGTGCATTATTCCTCTCCTGAGGATTGGCTTGGCTATTCCAGCTCTGCCAATGTGTATGTGGTCGCTGACACCTGGTGTCGGTCCTGTCCTGCAATGGCTTTCAGTGGAGCCATGTGCTGTGAAATAGGTTGTATAAGGTTGAGAGATGTCCCCGGGGCCCTGCAATGAGCCACACAGCAAACTCGTGTTGATCCGTCATCTGCTCACAATTTCAACCCAGGTGAGAGACGATTTCCCTCATGGAGAGGCCACATTAACACACTGTGTGCTTCGCTCCCTCTCGTGTGCTACACTGGTCTCACTTAGCCCTGCACTCTATTCCTAGCAACACAGGGTCAAAGCACTTCAAATAATGGTCATGTCCTGTAACTCTTGGAAGACTGTGGCTTGCCCAGTTGTTTGTAGACTGGCTCCCCACCTGTGTTCAAATACAGAGCAGCCATTTTGTCTTTAGAGCCCCTAAAACTGTACTCCCTTAAAGGGAAAATCCTGCAGGCATTCTTCTCACTGGGACTTTTGTTCTTTCTTTCCTTATGTTTTTTGTCAAACTGCAATATAGCGTCACACCCGCTGCAAATCTGTACTGTGTCTGTGGGAAATGCTACTACCAACAGACCCGATCCACATATCTGTAAAAACTGTGTGATAAGGAGTTTGGAGGTGGTAGCCTGAACTGTGCTTTTCTCTGGCATGGGGATGAACGGAGGCTTTGTCTGTGGTTCAAGTGGTGACAGCTTAACATCACACACAATCCTGTATTTGCCTAATAAAGGACAAGAAAACTGACACAGGAGAAAATCCTGCAGAAATTCAAGATAACTTCAAAGTTGCTCACTAGAAGGCTGTGAGGCACATTGTCAAAGTTATTAGGCAAAAAAAATATAAAATAATCCTAGCTGTTTTTATTTACAGCTGGCTTAGCTGGAGGGCTGGAGTGAGAGGCTTAGCAGGGGGGCTGCGAGTCACAGCAGGTTGAGGAGCGGGTGGCCTTCCCCACAGCTCAAAGCAGCAACTCAAATCCACAACAAAAGGCACTGATCTCTCTGCTAGCAGATAGCAGAGGAGGACTGAAATAAGCCCATGTGTTTATAGTTGAGTTCTCCATACATTGTGGACTCGGGAGGCAGCTTGCAGTATACAGTATTGTTGGGCAATACACTCAGCCCCCGTCTATCTAGTCATCCTCACTCTCAGCGTTATCAGGAGAATAAGCTTCAAGTTCTCAGGAATCTCTGCTCACAGTTGAGAGGGATGTCTGCGTTATCAGGAATACAACTGTGAAGTGCGCGCTGCTGC